CAAAAGTCTACAATGGGTCAGTAGGGCTGAATTCTTTCTGAAGGCTCAACTGGCTGTTAACTTGCCTTTTCCAGCTTCTAGAGGCTGCTGCATTCCCTGGCTCGTGGTCCCTTCCTCCATCCACAAAGCCCACAGCACAGAGTCTCCCAGTATCTCTCCCTCTCTCTCTTACTCACTCTGATCTGTGTTTCCAGCATTGCACATTTTTTCCTGCTTCTGATTTTTCTGCCTCCTTTACAGGGACGCTCGTGATTATAATGGGCCCACTGAGTAATACCCAATAATCTCTTCAGCTAAAGGCTCTTAACTTGATCATACCTGCACAGTCCCTTTTGCCACGCAAGGCAAGAAATTCACAGCCATCTTTGGGGACTGTGATTCTGACTGCCTCAGAGGCCAGGTTGATTTATGGAGAGCCCCATGGATCAGAAACGAGTGGAGAAATCTAGAACAGTGACGTGACTTGTACTGCTTGTGTTTTTGCCACGGCCACCTCCCTGGACCCTGTCACCTAAATGTGTCCTCCCATTCACAGGCCCACCCCCAGAGAACATTATCTATCAGGAGCTCCGCATGGAAGGGTTCATCGTCACCCGCTGGCAAGGAGAGGTCCGCCAGAAGGCTCTGAAAGACTTGCTGCAGTGGGTCATGGAGGTAACTGTCCCCCTGTTGCACACAAGAACCCATTCCCTCTCCACACTATAGGTTTCACCTCCACGGCGAATACAGGTGCATCTCCCTGCTCCCCCTTTTAGAATAAAATCCCAGAGAGAGTTGTTTACACTCACTGTCCTCAGTTCCTCTCTGTCCATTCTTTCTTAAACCCACGTATCAGGCTTGTACCCTCTTGCCATTCTACCAGATTGCCTTTGTCAAGGCTGATGATGTCCTCATGCTGTGAACTGCAAGGGTCAGTGGCTCACATCCTGTGGCTGTGGCGAGCATTTGACAGAGGTGATCACGCTCTCCTCAGTACACTTTCTTCCCTGGGCTCTCGGTTTTCCTCGAAGATTTGTCCTTCTCAGAGGATCTCCTCCTCTGCCAGCTCCTTTCCTGCTCTACAAATGAATAACAGAGTGTCCCAAGGGATGGGACTGGGTTCACTGGGCTTCTTTTCTTCTCTACCCACAGTCTACCTATCCCTTACATAGCTCAGCCTGGCTCTTGGCCTTAAATATCCTCCAGATGCTGACGGCTCCTGAACGTCTGTCTCCAGCCTGGGGCTCTGCCTCGGACTCTTGGCTGCTCAGCAGCAGCTGCACGCGCATGAGTAATACACATCTTTGACTCAACACGTCAAAAACTAAATATGTCTTGATCTTTCCTGCCAGACCCATTCCATATACAGATCTCACCATGTCAGTTACAGCAATTCTATCCTCCTAGTTGCTCAATCTAAAAACCTTGAAATCATGTCTTTGATTCCTTTCTTTCTCTCACCCACACCTCCTCTGTCAGCAAATTCTGTTGGCTCAATCTTCAAGATACCCACAGAATCTGGCCAGCTGTTCCACCTCCGCTACTTCCACCCATGTCCAGGCCACCATCCGTTCTAGCCTGGATGTTGCAGGAGCCTCTGTGTGATCTCCTGACTTTATGTCCCAACAGACAATTCCCAACACAGCTGCCAGAGTGACCTTTTAAAGCACAACAAACCATGTCATTCTTCAGCTCAGATCTCTGCAAAACTCCCCATTTCATATAGAATAAAACCTACAAGGCTATACATGATCTGACCTTCATTACCTCTGTAATTTTATTTCTTAGCATTCACCCCCGTGCTCACTCTGCCCAATCTCTCCCCACCTCCCTCTGTCCCTCTGTAACTGCTTCCTTAATTTGCTCATTCCCTTTAGGACTTTGTTAAAAACTACCTGCTGAATGAGGCAACTTTTAAAATGGCCCTATTTTAAATTGCAATCCCCCCTCATTTTTAAAAATTTATTTATTTTTGGGGAGAGAGCATGCATGTGAGTGTGTGTGCTTGCAAGCCAGGGTGGGTGGGGGGAGGACAAGCAGATTGTACACTCAGCACAGAATCCACTGAGGGGCTTGATCCCATGACCCTGAGATCACAACCTTGAGATCATGACCTGAGCAGAAACCAAGAGTCTGATGCTTAACCGACGGAGCCACACAGGTGTGCCTGCAATCCCCCTTCATTCTTGATCCTCCTTATCTTGCTTTTACCCATAGCAATGATCACCTTTTAACATAATGTATTCTATAATTCTCGCATATTTGTCGCCCGTCTCCCTGTGGTGAGAATGTAACCTCCACAAAGGCGGTAACATTTGTGCATTGTCGAATACATCCGGAGATGTATATAATCGTGCTGTGGGCTTCCAGGCCCTTGGTTGGTGTCTTCTTAGGGCCATGACCTCAGATCCACAGGAGAAGCCTATCCCCTTGTCCCGTGCTGTGATACTGTCCCACCGTACACCACATGGTTATTCAGAACACTGCATAGCAACCAAGGGCCATCATTTTAGTGTTAGAGGGGAAGCAGTATCACACTTCTAAGCTCCTGGCTTGATCATCGTTTCCCAACCCAGAGCAAAAGATTGCTCTTCTGGCAGCCACGGAGCTTGGTGCTTTTCCCAGTCCAGCACTTGGAGTGCTGAGCTGGGCTCTTTCCAGGAAGCTGAGAAGAGCTGAATGATTTTTAAGTTCCCAGTGTGGATCCTCTTTGTCCCTGTTGGTGAAATCTGATCTATCCCTCCCACGGTCACAGCTGATGACACGAAGCCACTGTGCTGGGGTCCTGCATGCCTCCTTCTGACAGAATGGACCTAATGACAGTTTTGTTTTCAGTAACTAGTAAATTGGCCTAATTTCTCTCTCTCTTTTTTTTAAAGATTTTATTTATTTATTTGACAGAGAAAGATCACAAGTTGACAGAGAGGCAGGCAGAGAGAGAGAGGGAAGCAGGCTCCCTGCTAAGCAGAGAGCCCGATGCGGGACTCGATCCCAGGACCCTGAGATCATGACCTGAACCGAAGGCAGAGGCTTAACCCACTGAGCCACCCAGGCGCCCCTAATTTCTCTCTTATTTTTTTTTCCTCATCACTTCGCCTTCTGAAAAATACACTTTTCTTTTAGAATCGTTTTCAATTTACAGAAAAATCACAAAGTTAGGGGGTGCCTGGGTGGCTCAGTCATTAAGTGGCTGCCCTTGGCTCAGGTCATGATCTCAGGGTCCTGGGATCGAGCCCCAAATTGGGCTCCCTGCTCAGTGGGGAATCTGCTTCTCCCTCTGCCTCATCCCCTGCTTGTGCTCTCTCTCTCTCTCTCTGTCTCTGCTGTGTCTCTGTCAAATAAATAAATAAAATCTTAAAAAAATAAAAATCACAAAGTCAGTACAAAGAGTTTCCATAGGCCCTGTATGCTGTACTTTTTTTTTTTTTTTTTTTTGACAGACAGAGATCACAAGTAGGCAGAGAGGCAGGCAGAAAGAGGGGAGGAAACAGGCTCCCTGCTGAGCAGAGAGCCCGAAGCGGGGCTCGATCCCAGGACTCTGGGATCACGACCTGAACCGAAGGCAGAGGCTTTAACCTACTGAGCCACCCAGGCACCCCCCTGTATGCTGTACCTTAATTTACCATATTATTAACACTTTTATATTAGTATTCATCCTCTACTTTGAACTTTTAAACTTTGGGTTACAGCTTTTAACCCCTTTCCAGGTTCTTTGTCTCTTTAAGAACAGGAAAAAGCTGGGGCTTTCTAGTCAAGGGTTCAAATCCCAGCTTCCATACATATTAGTTGCACGACCACCAGGCAAACAGTCCCTCTGTAAATCCATACCAGGTGCTGAGCCATCACTGGAATATATTAGGAAAGTAAGTGATGTCAGTATATTAGGAAAGTAAGTAAGTAAGTAACTCCGGTCTCCACATAAGGCCCCTTTAAAAAAAAAACCTTGAAAATGTAAATTAATTCCACTTAGTAGACTGCCTTGTAGTAGAAAGAAAAATAAATCCTCAGTAAATGAACCCTTCCCTCTCACACTCCTAAATGAATATTCAACATATATTGAAAGAATCTGGGCTGGATGTGAGGGCAGACTATTACACTACCATGGTATTTACATTTGCCAAACAGGCTCAGCCTCTTCAGGGATCAAAGAGGCCATGATGCTACATCATGAAGCAACCGGAAGGATTAAAGCAGATAATATCCTGCAAGGGGGCCCCTTTTTCCATCTTCTTCCATCTCCTCTGAGATCATCACCTTATTAAACTTCCCATATAATTTACTTAGAAATTGCTTGTTCACTTCCTGTGACACTTCTCCTATTATTATGCTGTGATCTAATACCTATTATCAAAGTTTTATTTGTACTTTGTGGATCATGCCCCAAGATCGATTATAAGTTCATGGGGGGGTGGACAGAGCCTCCATCTTAGATTTCCAGGTTTCCCATAGTGTACCTGATTAATTTGATGAGAAGAGTATCATTTAGAATATGAAATTAATCTGTTATATTTGTTGTCGTTCTGATACAGGGTAAAATCCAATACCACGAATACATCACTGAAGGATTTGAAAACATGCCAGCTGCATTTATGGGAATGCTGAAAGGAGATAATTTGGGAAAAACAATAGTGAAAGCATGAAAAAAATGACACATGGAATCTAGCATTTGGATGATTAATTTCTTTTTAACCATTTAGTAAAAATATGTTTTACCTTTATTATCTAAGAAACAGTCATTGTGATGAGTTTCATCTACCTAATAAAACACAGTTAACTGGTATGTAATTGGAATAGAGAGTGAAAATTTCACAGTGGATAATGGCCAATCACCTCACTCCCTATTACTGTTCCTTCTGGCTTATGGTGCAAACTAATGGTTTGGAGTCCAAAAGTTTACTGCTTCGGTGACTTTGGAGTTCTGATTTTTTTTTTTTTTTCTGATCTGTAAAGTGAGGATAGTATCATCAGCTTTATATATGTATTACAAATTTATTTAAAACACCAGCATAGGGGTACCTGGGTGGCTCAGCCCGTTAAACAACTGACTCTTGATTTCAGCTCAGGTCATGATCTCAGGGTTGTAGGACTGATTTCTGCGTCAGGCTCCAAGGTCAGTGGGAAGTCTGCTTCAGATTCTCTCCCTCTCCTTTGATCCCTTTCCCCTCACTGCATACACACTGTCTCTCTAAAATAAAAAATTAAAAAATCTTTAAAACAAAACACAAACACCTGCATAATGCATAGCCTGTATTAGGGACACAGTACATTTAGCTACCTTCCTGTAGAAATTAGTGAAGTCATAAAGTTACCACCCTCATTGCTTATTACATGAGAAGAAATAATCATTGCTAATGTATGGTGGTCTCAAGGCAGCTGAGTCTAATAACATCACACCAAGGAAGGGATTTATTGTTCCATAGGTATGTATCAATAAGTTTTGATACAATTCGTCTCCAGGGAAGAGAACTGAGGAGTGCCTGAAGGGCAGGGATAAGAAAGAAACTTCACACTATATAACATTTTGTGCTTTTTAAATTCTGAATCTTACAAATTATTTATCCACTATTAAAAATACAATTAAAGAAACAAAAGTCCTTGCCCTCCCCATTCCATATGGGGAAAGTAAAACATATGTATGAGTGAAAACTCAGGAAAGTGTGGGGGTACACTCACCCAAGATGGGCACCTCTGGTGTCTTTAACTCAAAGATATTCATACTGAACCTTCAGCAATTACAGTGCAAGTTTTCCCACCATGGTGCTACTGGTGCCCATGGAGATTTCTGTTCTTGGGCTTCAACTCCAATAGCACAAGTCTCTGTGCATCTTATTATATGTAAATTATACCTCAACACACTTAATTTTTAAAAAGAAGAAAAAATATGTCCAGTGCAAAAAACATGGGCCACAAGATAGGAGCTTTCCAGATACCAAACTACCACAGACTCCTGACTTACTCAGAGGGAGAGAGACAGACAATAATCAGCCAGGGTAAGGCCGAAGTCTGAGAGATCCACAACCACACAGTATGTACTTTTTGGGAAAGCCTCCCAAGCAGGCATTAATATTTTCAACTTCAGAGGAGACAGGAGGAACACAGGGCTTCCTGTTTCCCCCACTTCCATCTACATCTTCTGGAATTTATCTTGGTCCCAACAGTAAAATAGGTATCTGTCTTAATTTTTTCCAAGTTATAAGCCAGTTTTCCCTACATCATTTATGGAATCCATCTTTCCTTCATTGACTTGAAATATATCTTTTACTATGTTTTCTATTTGTAGGTACTTGGTTCCATATCTAGACTCACCCACTCAAAACACAAAGATGTGTGTTTCATTGTTTTGCTACTAATGTGAATAGGATTTTTTTCCATTGCATTTTTTAGTTATTGCTAGAGCTTGGGAAAGTTTTAAAATACATCTCTCAGTCTATGCACAATTATGCATTTTTGTAATAAAGTATTAAAAGAGTGCCCTTTTTAATACAGTATTTCAGAATAACTCATTTTTAAAGTTTTATTTTACTTAAATTCAGTTAATTATGTATATCATTAGTTTCAGAAGATTAACTCATTTAAAATACTTGCCATAGTGTTTTAGCCTGATGCTTAATACAACTATTGCCAAGTGGCTAATTGGACTTGATATGATACAACTCATTGTGATTTTTGCCAGCATGCAATAGTCCACAATTCAAGTATTTGGAGTTTATGTTCTGTGAACTTGTGTATGTCCCAAGAATATAATTTTTTCAGTGCAATTTCATAGTAAAGTGACAGTCAACAGCCTACAAATGAAAGATGAAGAATTTCCAGATAAAGAACCAGGCAGGACATCAATACTGACAGCGTATTATCAGCCCAATTGAAAAAGTTTAACAAGATCTACAGAGCTTCTAATTTTAAGGGAGTAAGAAATCTGCCTTCTTGTCTGGAAAATCATCCAAAACAACCTAGGTCATAAGAAACAGAAAAACAAACTCCATTTAAGAAAAATTAAGAGGAACCAGTAGGATTTTTGTAACCCGTTGTCATAAGAAAGACAGGCAATAACAAGCGATGGCAAAGAGGTGAAAAATCGATTCTGCCAATTTACTCACACATTGCTGATGGGGATGTAAAGTGGTGGGACCCCTCTGGGAAACAGTTCAGGAATTCTTCAAAATGCTAGGCAGAGTTGCCATGTACACCACACTCACAGTTTCACTCACTGGTATACACCAAAGAATTGAAATCATACGTCCACACAAAAACTTATACCCAAATGTTCATAGCAGCATTATTCATAATAGCCCAAAGAAGAAACAACCCAATGTCCATCAAATGATGAATGGCTGTAATGTGGTATATCCGTACAATGGAACACTATTCAGCCATAAAAAGGAATGAAGTATTGATACACGCTACAACATAGATTTTTAGAAACATCAGGCTAACTGAAAGAAAACAGACACAAAAGGCCATTCATTGTATGATTTTTTAAAAAAAGATTTTATTTACTTATTTGGGAGAGAGAGTGAATGAGAGAGAAAGGGAGAAGGAGAAGCAGACTCCCTGCTGAGCAAGGAGCCTGATACAGGATTCCATCCCAGTAACTCCCAGATCATGACCTGAGCCCAAGACAGACATGTAACTACTGAGCCACCCAGGTGCCCCTGTATGATTCTATTTATATGGAATGTCCAGAAAAACAGGCAAATTTAGAGACAAAGTAGATTAGTGGTTGTACAGATTGGGAAGGGGGAAGTAGGAAGTGATGGCTAATAGGTATGGAATTGATTTGGGGAGAGATAAAAATATTCTTGAATTATATAGTGGTGATAGTTTTTTTTTCTTTTTTTTTTAAAAAACGATTTTATTTATTTGAGATAGCAAGCATGAGCAGAGGGAGGGGCTGAGAGAGAGGGAGAAGCAGGCTCCCGGCTGAGCAGGGAGCCCCATATGGGGCTTGATTCCAGGATCCTGGTATCATGACCTGAGCCAAAGGCTAACAATTAACTGACTGAGCCACACAGGCACCCCTATAGTGGTAATAGTTGCACATCTTTGTGACAATACTAAAACCACTAAATTGTACACTTCAAAGAAATGAATTTTTGCAGTATTATTCACGATAGCCAAGGTATGAAAACAACGTAGTGTCCATTAAGAGATGAATGGATAAAGAAAACACTCTCACACACACAAATATCCTTCAGCTTTAGAAAAGGAAATTGCCATTTGCAACATGGATAAAACAGGGCATTATGCTTAGTGAAACAAGCCAGGAAAAGACAAATACTAGGTGGCATCACTTATATGTGGAATCTAAAAAGGAAAGGAAAAAGTCGAACTCATGGGAACAGTAGAAAAGTAGTTGCCAGGGGTTGGAGGTGGTAAGAAATAGGAAGAGGTTGGTAAAGGGGTACAAATTCAGTTATTAGATAACTAAGTCCTAAGGACTTGTTAGTGTGTAACATGATGAGCGTAGTTGATAACACTGCATTATATAATTGAAATTTGCTAGGAGTAGAATTTAAAATGTTCCCCTCAAAAAAAGGTAAATATGTAAAGTGATGGATGTATGAATTAACTCAACTGGAGAGGGGGATCATTTCACAATATATATACCAAATCATCACTCTTTATGCTTAAAAAATTAAGAAACACATGAAACCCCAAGCAATATTGTATGAAGACACATACTGTTTAGGAACTTGCATTGACAGGACAGGCAAAAAAAAAAAAAAAAAAAAAAAAGGCACAACTGCCTTCTTCCAAAGGGTACTGATAAAACCTATAAAGATTTGGGAAGTGTAGATGTCAGGTAATCTGGAAGTGAGGAGGCAACCAAGGAGGCTACAAAGATAGTACTTGAAAAGTACAAAAAGAGCGGTTCAAGGGGCACCTGGGTGGCTCAGTGGGTTAAGCCTCTGCCTTCAGCTCAGGTCATGATCTCAGGGTCCTGGGATCAAGCCCCACATCCAGCTTCCTGCTCAGTGGGGAGCCTGCTTCTCCCTCTGCCCCTTCCCCTCCCCCTGCTTGTGTTCTCTCTCTCTCTCTCTCTCAAATAAATAAAATCTTAGAAAGGAAGGAAAGGAGGGAGGGAGAAAGAGAGAAGAGAAGGGAAGAGGAGTAGTTCAAGCCTACAGTACCACTCCTACCTTGCTTGGCATTTATCTATCCATAACCCCCCAGAGAAAACTGAAGTATGAACTGTTACCAAGTGGAACCTGAAAGGCTTTTAACTAGGGTCCCTCCGCCCTGGAAGAAGGTGGAAATGAGATGTCAGGTTGAAAACAGATTAAGTGGAAGTCTAAGGCGGGGGTGTGAGTGGACTTCAACTCCCATCCCACAAGGCTGCTTTCTTCCACCTAGCCCACAATAGCCAGCTGTATGAACCCTGGCAGTTTAGCTCCCTCTCTAGAATCCTATAGATCCTTCCTGAGAAATTACACCGCTTCAAGGATGACTGACAGACACTGACATTTGGGGGTCCCCAAGGCAAAAACTAAGTGACAATCGTCCTTCTGTGAAGCCCACAAATTGACCTACCACTCCCATGTACTCAAGCTTCTAAGAGACCCTGGACTTGCAGGTGGAAACATTCATCAACAGACTTTGGATTGCCTCCCTTAGGAAAAGAGGATAGGTACTGTGTGGGGGGAATCACGAAAGGACATAGTGATCAGGACAGGTTGTGGCTGACGCAATCCATGTGCTCACAATGAGGGGAAGACAATTTCCCAGCCTCCTCTGTGGTGAGGTGTCATGTGACTGATTTCTGGCCAATGGAAAAGAACAGAAATGATTTCTAAGCCACATGTTCCCAGTTTCCGGGTTAGAGCATCCTTAGCACCACAATCAGCTTTTCACAGTGCCCTTAGGCGCAATTAGGTAAGAAATACCTAACTGCCCCATTTGCTAAAAAGGTCCAGACAATAGTAGTTGGTGCTATGCTGTGTTTTCCTAATATGTAAAATATCCTGGGAAACCCCTATGAGTTCTCTACAGTGACCTGGGACATCTTGGCACCCAGTGGGGACCCATGGTTCCTTTTGATTGATCTCTTTAAAAATTTTATTCATTTATTTGAGGGAGAGCATGCAAGCAAGAAAGCAGCCGGGGGAGAGGGAGAAGCAGACTCCCCACTGAGTAGCGAGTCTGATATGGGGCTCCATCCCAGGACCCTGAGATCATAACCTGAGCTGAAGGCAGATGCCTAACCAACCACAGGAGCCCCAGGACCCATGGTTCTAAGCTGCTTCCAGGTTAGTGTTTAAATATATATGTATAAATGTATAATGCTCCCGTTCTTGACTTCTTTGCCTCTGGGGCCTCCCAATGGCATAGCTACAAAATGTTGGAACGCAACAAAATGCAGGAAGCCTGTCTGGGAAATGAACTGTTATTCAGTTAAGCCACTTGGATCTCTTGGGCTCCCTGGCTAGCGCTGCTTACTCCGACCCTGTATTGTCCAATACGGTAGCCACATAAATCTACTGAGAACCACGGTAATGAACACTGCCACATTCTGAGACTGAAAAAACCGAAGCAGAGTCAATGTCTTCCCATTAAACACAAGTTTATTGTTTTCATAGAACTACAATTCACTTTAACTGTTGCATCGCGTAGGATGTTGTACTGTAATGCTTAGACAGGAACGTGCATTAGTTCTAGGATTACAGATAAACACTTCACCAATCTAGGCAGTATCAACAGATTGATTTGATTCAGATGATTTTCTTCTATGCACTGGAATAACATCACGATGCATTTACTTGGATATTTTATGTGGCTAGCACAAGTTCAAGTATACCAAGGCAGACAGCACAAGTTACAGTGATACTTATGCAAATCAGAATCATCAACTGAGATATGCACTATTTTAATTTTAGTTATTTTCTAGATTAAAAAAATACGGGAAAACATTTAAATTTTAAACGAAGGCATAATACTGAGGCAGAATTCAGTACACTACAGAAGCGAGTACTACAACTAGTAAAGAGAATAGGGGAAGAGGGTCTAGTGCACATTTAACGCTGAATGGCGATTGCAATTTACTGCAGATGCAGTGAAATGAAAAAGCTGCTCGTTGTATATAAAAGTGTTAGATAGAGTAGACAATATTTAAGACAACAGCTAGCATTTGTCATTTCCAGCAACAATCTAGTGAGTTCAATAAGTATTCTAACAGAAAAAAAAAAAAATCCATTAAATTAGTCACATGAAATGAGCAATTCCCATCAAAAAAATTTAAACACTTTTTAACAGGATTTTTGAGCTTGTAAAGTTGGCCAGTTATACAATACTTGAATTCTTGAACACACACACACACACACACACACACACAAACACAAAATCTTCGCTGGAAAGATGGTAAAAAGGAATGATTATTTCAGTTATGATAATTTAGTTAGAAAATTATAAGACTTAAAAAGACATTTACAAGAGTTGAGATTTTCAATTAACCTAAACAACGTTGATCATAGGATACAAGAAGTTGCTAATACTATCAAAGATTAATTGTTTCACAATTTTAAAAGTTGCAAGTATGTACTTTCAGCTTTAGATGAGTCATGTGATGTAAGACAGCGATTGTTGAAAATTTTGGTACATTTTGTCTCAAAGAACAACCAAATTTATGAAGAAATGTCAATTCATTGCCTAGAAACTCAAACTCATGACAGGTTTAATTTTTGATATTTTTTTCACCTGTCAAAGAATTTCAGCTAGACATAGAAAAATTAGTTTCTATCATAAGAATGAGACTCCAGCTATGTTAAATCAAAAGATCAAATACTGGAATTTTAAAGCAAGAGAATGTTGTTTTCCTCATTGCTTTGTTCCACTGTCTGATAACTATTGAAAATATTTATGTTGTTTTCCAAAGCAAACTCTAATGAGTCATGAATACAGATGTTAAAATTCTTCAATATATATGTGCAAATGCTATAAATTAACCATTGCCAGGTTATGGAATCAGTAATGTTTTTAATGATCTGTGTTTTTATTAATGTTCCTTGGTTGAGTCATAAGAGAATTTTTACAAAGACTTCCTGTACGAGGCATTCCAATTCAAGGGTTTCTTAAAATGAAAGGAATGCCTGGCATATAATCAAGGACAAAAAGTGTCAGTATGATAATTCTCCTTAACATAACACTGAGCACGAATAAGCTGAATTTGAAGCTCCTTACGACAGGAAAAATTTTACCTACTTAGGTGAAAAATTTAGTTAAAATAATTTAGTTAAAACGGAAACATTTCGTAATACAAATAAAAAAATGACAACTGTACACATTTTTCTAACATTGGGTCAATATGCAAATTTTAAATGTAATCAATAGTGCTTTATGCAAGTTAACTGCAAAAAAAAAAGACAAATGTAAAGACTGGTTTGTTGATATGAACAAGTTCAGCTTTGTTTCCATTTTATGTAATGCCTTATGCCAAATTTGATGATGATAATACTGAGTTGAATTTACCTGAACAAATAACAGTTTTCAAAATGATATGCTTTTGGTTCAAAATCAAATCAATTCTTCCAATAAAAAGATGAACAGTTTTGTCAATGTGGATGCAAATATCAAAGTTATTCTTCTGATACTTGATGCAGTTATCGAAAATTTTAAGTATATTTAGAACAAGATATGTTTACAAGAACTATGTGAATCCACTTTTCAATGCTAAGTTTTACAAATCTAAAAATGGATCAAGTAATTCAGATGAAAATTTAGTGTATGAATTAAAATGTGCTGCTATGTTAATAAAATATGCACTGGGTTTTGAAGACAATGCAGAAAGAAATATAAAATATCTCATCAATAAGTTTTATACTGGTTAAAATATGTTGAAATAATATTATGCCTCTATTGGGTAAAATAAAATATATTGTTAACTTCATCTGCTTTGCTTTTTAAAAGTAGCTACCAGAAAATCTGATATTACATATGTGGCTCACATTATGCTCCTCTTGGACAGTGCTGTAGTAATTAAAACACCTTCCAGTCAGCTTTTAGAACCCTCTTGTTAAATGTGAACAAAGATTGCTAGAAATTTGAGGAAAGCCTCCATTGTGAAAGAGAGAAAACAGGTTAAAAACAACCCAGAGGAAAGACAGATAATGCAGGGAGCAGAATAACATGGAAAGACACTGTATTAGCATCTTCCGAGGAAAAAAAAAGTTCACCCGTGAAAAAACAGATTATCCAAAAAAAACAAACAACAACAAAAAAAACCCAAAACAAAACAAAATCAGAAAATGCACTTAGAATTATAAATATGACAACAGCAACAAAACATTCAAAACATTTAGTAGCAGAGTTGGAGGATAAAGCTGAAAAAATTTTCCAGAAAGCAAGATAAAGATCAAAGATGTAGAGGAAGTGATGTCAGGGAAGATGGTAGAGTAGGAAGCACCAGAAATCCAACTTGCCACCTAGACAACTGTACCAGAAGAAAGTATCTAGTGATAACTCTGGAGTACAAGATGTCTACTTGAAAACTTACAGCTCTCAGGGGAAACCCTGACTGGTAAACTGCAATGATTAGAGGTGGAAGTAGGCGTCACCCAGACTCTACTGGCCAGCCCGAGAGATGAAATCCACACCCACAGTTTGTCTTGCTGGAACCAGAGTAGGCAATAAAAACCTTTGCCTCTAAATACTAGAGTTCTGGGTTCTGCCTGTGAGTGGCTGCTTCTGATCACGAAGGAAGAGCCTTCACAGAAGCCAGCCACTCTTCCAACCTCCACTGAGTAATAGAGCTTCTGAATGTCCTTGTGGACAGCACCTGGTTTTTCTAGACATTGAAAAAGAAAATCACATATGGGAAAATTCAGAAAAACACAGCCTCTGCCCAGGGAAATACAGCCAGAAAATTTAAGCATTCACCGCAGACTGATCCCCAGCACAGAGACACCCTAAAACAATCACCTAAAACTCTGAAGAGGGAAAGCCTAATTTCCAGAGCTACTGAACTAGAAGATTCAAATGTCGAGTTTTCAACAACAAAAAATTCACAAGGCGTACGAAGAAAGAGAAAAGTAAGGCCCATTTGAAGGAATAAAACAAATCAACAGAAAATGTAGCTTGGGAAGCCCAGAGGCCAGGCTTCCTAAACAGAACCTTTAAACCAACGGTCTTAAAGATGCAAGAGCAGAAAAAAAATTTTTTTTTAAATAAATGAAAAATAAATAAATAAAAATTTAAAAATGAAAAAAAAAAGATGTAAGAGCAAAAGGAAGGTTCTGATGAGGCTGGCAGATGAAGTGAGAAAATGAAGACGATTCTTCAAAGCAGCGGGGGGGCGGGGAGACTAGGCATCCATGAATTACTACTTTAGAGGGGAATGCTCTCCTTGGTTCCATTTTACAAAAAGGCTATAAACATCTTGAATACCAATGGCAAAAACCCCAGAAGAGCTACTGATAGATTTGGCAAAGCTTGTAGATTATCAGAACCACTCTGTAAGGAGAGACCGGTGAGGACTCCAATTGGAAGAATCTTGACCTTAGAATCTGTAAGAGTCCAGCAGAGATCTCACTGATGCTCTGAGGGTAGAAAACAGTAATTTCCAACTTCCTAAGCACCAGATTGACTCAGGAGAGACACCTCACAAGCACCCTGGTTTGGAGAAAAACTTCCTTAGGTCAGACCTTTATAGATGTCCATAGTTCCGTATAAAGGAGAGATCCTATGAAATATGCTGTATTTTACAGACAACACCTTGACAGTACATTTTCAGAATCTTAAAATGCATCTCCGTTTTCATCAAGCAGTGCCACCTCAGAGAAACAATTCTGAGGAAAACACAAAACAAGAAACAACAAAAATAGAAGACTATCAGGTAATACACACACGCAGGAAGAACCTGCAGTGGTTCCTCACCGACTTGGTAATAAAACACAAACTTCTCAAAAGGGTTGGGAAGAAAGGTCTTTATGACGCCGGGCCTCAACTTTGACAACACGGGGTGCAACGGCCTCCTACCCCCAAGTGTCAGAGTCGCTCTCCCGTGGGCTCCCACCTGCTAGGCTTACACTTCATTTTTAGTGCTGCACACAGCTCGCTATAGCTGTTAGTTGCAATCCTACTCTGACCTGCACCGTACCCACCCCTCCAAAACTCATCGGTCTTACCCACCGGACTGGATTTCTACAGGGCGGAGAACATGTGCTATTCATCTCATCTCTTAAAGTGCATTGCATATACTAAGCATTAATGAATGTTTGTAGCATTTCCAGAAATGAACAGAGGCATTATTTTATTGTGCTTCACAGATATCGTGTGTGGTTTGGTTGTTTTTGTTTTTTTACACAAATTGAAGGTTTGCGGCAACCTTGAATTGAACTAGAATTGAGCAATTCTACTGGCACCATTTTCCCAACAGCATTTGCTCACTTTATGTGTCACGTTTTGGGAATTCTCACAGTATTTCAAACTTTTCAATTATTACTACCATCTCTACTACGTTGTTTTGTGATGAGTGATCCTAGACAGGACTACTGTGTTGTTTTGAGGCATCATGAACCACACCCACATAAGACAGTGAACTTGACTGATAAGAGTGAACTTGACTGCATGTTCTGACTCCTCCATGGACCCACCATCCCTGGGTCTTTCTCCCTCTCCTTGGACCACCTGACTTCCCTAAGACACAACAATACCAAAATGAGGCCAATTAATAACCCTACAATGGCCTCTAAGGGTTCAAACGAAAGGAAGAGTCACACATTTCTCACTTTAAATTAAAAAAAAAAAAAAACACAGAAATAGTTAAGCTTCATAAGGAAGGCATATCGAAAGCTGACCGGCCAAAAGCTAGGCCTCTTCCAACAGTTAGCCAAGCTGTGAACACAAAGGAAAGGTTTCTGAAGGAGATTAAAAGAGCTACTCCAATGAACACATGAATGATCAAAAAGCAAAACACCCTTCTCGGTGATAGGAAGAAAGTCTGAGTGGTCTGGAGAAAAGATCAAACCAATCCCAACATTCTCTCAAGCCAAAGCCTAATCCAGAGCAAGGCCCTAACTTTCCTGAATTCTATGAAGGCTGAGAGAGGTAAGGAAGCTGCAGAAGAAAAATTCAAAGTGAGCAGGGGTTGGTTCATGAGATTTAAGGAAAGAAGTCACCTTTGTAACATAAAGAACAAAGCAGCAAGTGCTGAAGTAGAACCTGCAGCAAGTTATCCAGAAGATCTAGCTCATTAATGAAGGTGGCTACACCAAACAGCCTTATAAGAAAATGCCATCTAGGACTTTCCTAACCAGAGAGAAGTCAGTGCCTAACTCTCTTGTTTGGAACTAAAGCAGTTGGTGATTTTAAGTTGCAATCAATGCTTATTTGTCATTCTGAAAACCCTAGGGCCCTTAAGAATTATGCTAAATCTTCTCTGCCTAATGCTTTATACAGGGAACAAGACCCAGATGGCAACACATCTGTTTACAACATGGTTTGTACTGAATTTTGTAAGCCCACTATTGACACCTACTGCTCCGAAAAAAAATCCCTTTCAAAGTATTACTGCTTGGGGTGCCTGGGTGGCTCAGTGGTTAAGCCTCTGCCTTCAGCTCAGGTCATGATTCCAGGGTCCTGGGATCCAGGCCTGCATCAGGCTCTCTGTTCAGCAAGGAGCCTGCTTCCCCCACCACCACCTCGCCTGCCTCTCTGCCTACTTGTGAGCTCTGTCTGTAAATAAAAAAAATTAAATCTTTAAAAACTTTCTTTTTTCAAAATATTACTGCTCATAGTAATGGATCTGGTCACCCGTGATGGAAGATGTACAAGGTTGTGGTTTTTGTCACTGCCGACACATTATCCTCTCTACAGTCCCTGCATCAAGGACTGATTTCAACTTCCAGGTCTTACAAGAAATACATTTCCTAAGGCTAGGACACCCATAGACAGTGATTCCTCTGTTGGATCTCAGGAAAGTGAACCAAAAACCTTCGGGAAGAGTCTCTGTTCTAGAGGACACTGACATCTTTGAAGAACTGAAAACAAGGACTTTGCTATTTTACACCACTAACCATAGTCAAAATGGTAGAAATGACCCAGATGTCCGTTGATGGATGAATGAACAAAATGTGGTATATACATATGACGGAATGTTGTTCAGTCTTGAAAAGGAATGAAAATTCTGACACCTGCTACAACATGAACCTTAAAAACAGTTTGCTAAGTGAAAGAAGCCAGACACAGAAGGACAAATGTTCAATGATCCCATTTATAGGAGGTTCCTAAAATATTCAAAATTCAGAGAGACACAAAGCAGAATAGTGGCCCCCAGGGGCTTGGGGCAGGACAGAATGAGGGGTTACTGTTTCATGAGCTTCAGTTTGGGATGACAGACAACTTCTGGAGACGGACAGGGGTGATGATTACACAACACGAATGTACTTAATGCCACTGAGTCATACTCCCAAAAAGACTTAAACTGGTCCATTTTAGGTTATCTATATTTCGCCATGTTAAAAACTAATTCAAAAGTAAGTAAATAAAAGAAGAATCACTGACAGGCAAAGCTTTATCCTGTCCTGTAACCTGACAGTAGTTTCTTTAGTGGAAACTCATTAAGAAGAAACATTGTGAAAAACAAGGTCTTCATTTTAAAGTAGACAGAATATGTTAAAGGGCTGATTTTTAATACCTGTCAATGTACATAAACAGCATAAAGTTAAACACTGGTTTTAATAGTATTATTAAATACTGATAATTTAATTAATAAGAACAATTTGGTAAGAGATCAAAAGAAGTTTAAAATCTTGATTATCTGATAGGACATAAAAAATGAATTTAAGTACTTAAGATGATGGCCCGCAGCGAATATCCTTTAGGCAATTATAGATAAGTAGTTATTGAAAACAAGCTTTTTATAAATATCATGCAGTAGAGTTTGAGGCAGCTCCCTACGGCTAGTATTTCTCCATACTGGAGAAAGGACTTTCACGTAGAATATAAAATATGACAACTCAATAAACCTAACTCTTTAAATGGAAAAAAACCTTGAATAAACATTTTGCTGAAGAAGATACATGAATAGCTATTGAGTACATGAAAAGATTCTCAACATCATTAGCCATCAGGGAAATGTAAATTAAAACCACAAAGAGATAGCATTTCAACCCTTAGGACGGCTATAATGAAAAAGGCAGACAATACCACAAGAGTCGGTGAGGATGTACAGAAACCTGACTGACTCCGGGCTTTAGTTCCCTTTTCATTTAGAAATTACTATTCAGACCTTGCCAATGAAATTCTTAAGAAATAATCCACTAGTACCTGTATACTCTATTTCTCTGAGGTCTAATTTCACAAACAAAACTGAAAAGTTACTCTGTATGATTTTTTACATTCTCTTGCTGCATTTCACTATCAGTGGAGTTTCTTTAGATTTTAAGATCTATATTCTCCAGACTGTAGGGGTCATCCAGCGCTGTTCGGAACGAAAAATGATGTACTCACCTACAAAACAATTTGGAAATATCCTAGGAAGTTAGACAAAATTCACCCTGTGAGCCGGCCACTCAGGCATCTACCTAAGAACAATGAAAATGTGTCTACAGAAAGACTTACACATCAACGTTCAAAGCAGCATTATTATGAACAGCCAAAAACTGTAAACAACCCAAATGTCCTTCAACTGGTGAATGGACAAAATATGGTATATCCATAAAATAGGGTATCATTTAACCATAAAAATAAAGGCCTGATGTGCTACAACATGAACTTAGAAAATACATTAATGAAAAACACAAGACCACATATGATCCTATTTGTATAAAATGTCCAGAAAAGGCAACTCTACAGGGACAGAGTGGTTGCCTGAGGCTAGGTGTGGGAATGGAGGTTAACTGTAAACAGGGCTGAGGGATCTTACTGAGTTTATAAAATGTTCTAAAAATGGATTGTGGTGATGATTGTACAATTCAGTGAGTCTGCCAAAACTCACTGAATTGTACACTTGAAATGACCTTTTATGTAATTTACACCCCAAAAAACTTGCTAAAAAAAAAAAAAGAACCTCTATGTTCCAGATACCCAGCTGGTACTGGTATAAAACCTCCTCTTATGAACGTTGGAGGCTGTAACTAGTGAACATCCTGGAAGAAGCCTTGTCTCAAGAATTTTACATATTTCTCTATAAATTGTATCTTTAAAAAAAAAATCAGGGTTTATGTATGTTTGGGAAAAAACTTAAGACCAGATGAATGATCCTCCTAAGCCATTTTCTTTTCATGGCTAGAATGTCTCTGGTTGGTCCATTTAGTGACAACTATGCAGACCAACATACCATACAGCAGTATCTGAACTACAAGCCTTTGTGGGGGGTGGGCAGGGAGTGGGGGTATAAGGAAGAAACCAAAAGCATTATCCAGAGGTAGTATCGCAAACCTACACCCATTAAATCGCAGCAAATATTGCTGAGTCTCCATCAGCATTCAGGATCTCTTCACTTCCACAAGCCAAGTTTTCTGTTTTTGTTCTCATTTATTAGGGAGCGACCTCAGATTTCAACTTTATGAACTTCTTGGTACCATCGCTGAATCAGAAGGGCGCCTCCAGAACCCTAGGACTTGAGACCTACACCTGACTCAGGGTTTTAGCTCCTCTTTCAGTCAGAAATGATTATTCACACTCCACCAATGAGATTCGTCACAATAAATAATCCACTAATAACTGCTCTCTCTTCAAGTCTAATTTCACAACAAAGCACTTAACTGAGAAGTTATTTTGTGGGACTTCTACATTCTTCCACTGTATTTTACTATCGGGGGAGTCTCTTTAGATTTTAGGATACATATTCTCTAGATGGCAGGGGACCATAGTATCAAGTTCCTATATTCAGGGCAAATCAAGTCCTATAAATCAGAGAACTCGGCTGGTAGAAGAGTAGATTCCCTGTGTAAAGGCAGCAGCTACTACCCCAAACCAGTGGACTACTCCACTGAAGTATGGGCCAGGGTTAACAGCCCTTATAATTTTTCAAGGCAAGCCTTTTTTTTTTTTTTTTTTGGTATGAAATCTCCTAATTTTTAAATTTTAAATGGTGACAAGTTCCACCCGTCCACCCACCCATACACAAACACATCTTACCATGCAGATCAACCAAAACATCAAACGGCTCCATCTTAGCTTGTGACCTTTGCCATACACCATGTTTGCACTCTGATTATAGGGGTGCTGTACTTAGGATAAACAAACTTTTAAAAAAATAGAATTTTCTTTCGCAAAAGATAATCCATCCAGAATAGCTCTGTTTTCAACACCCGTTTCCTTCCCCACCACCCCCCTCCCCAGCCCCCAACCCATTTTCCTAGGACTGGTACTCTCACGGCTGAGATGGCTCCAATGTTTGCCCTCTAGATTCCTAATCCCCTCAACCAGAGCCCAGAGGGAAAAACAGGTTGGGGTACTTTGTCCAATTAAAAATTCCCTGAAGACACACCATGTGAGCTCTGCCGACTCGTTCCTGTTGATATTCTAGGGATTCCAGCATCTGGCATTTGAAGTGTACCACATTCTCAGTTCAGAATCTTAAATAAGTGCTTTTCTACTATAGAAACTTGCAAATTCCAATTTAGCTTATTCCCACAGCTTCAGAGAGGATCAGAGGTAAACTTAGAAATTGTGAGCCCCACCCCCTTCCTGCCACCAGTGAAGAAAACCCAAATTTAGAAAGGTCAAATGATGCGTCCAAGGTTATACAGTGAGTTGGCTGGCAAACCGGGACAGAACTCAGAACCTAGGTTATGACTCAAGACCAGTTCTTGCTAGAAGAGGGAAATCTCTTGAAGAAAAAAAGGTTCATCAGTGGGTCTCGTGCACTCCTCTTGCTTTTTAAATCTGCATTTGGCCTTTCAGAACCATTGCACATCTCATCCTTTCTTCACTTTTCATCCGTTTAGCAACTCTACTAACTTTACCAACCCTACTTACGATCTACCAAAGGAGAGTGGTGAATGGCAAAAAGTGTTTTCCCCAGCTGCCAACCCATTAAAGTTGTACCTACTGATCAATGTGGTGGTAGTTTCCACCCTGGGTTTTTAATAAGGGACAATTTGATGAGACTCCACCCCCCCAACCACCTTACTGTATTTCAAGAATTACTCTCCAGAATGAAATCCCCGATGTCTGATGAGGCCTGAGTTACTCTTAAATGTCTTTTCACATTCGTTACATTCATATTCTCTCCTTCCAGTATGGATTTTTAGGTGTTCCACAAGGATTGAGCTCCGGCTGAAGGTCGCTCCACAGTAATTACATTCATAGGGCTTCTCTCCGGTATGAATCCGATGATGCTCGTTAAGAGATGAACTCTGACTGAAAGATTTCCCACATTCTTTACATTTATACGGCTTTACGCCAGTATGAATTCTCTGATGGCGACTGAGGAGTGAATGCGTAGGGAAGGCTTTCTCACACTGGTTACACTTGTAGGGCTTTTCTCCTGAATGAAGTCGCTGATGATAAATGACGGATGTAAAATGGCTGAAAGTCATCCCGCAGTCATTACACAAATAGGGTTTTTCTCCAGTGTGGATCCTCTGATGTCGCGTAAGGCAAGAATTCTGTCTAAAGGCTTTTCCACATTCACCGCACTTATAGGGCTTCTCTCCAGTATGAATCCTCTGATGTTTGGAAAGGGACGAGCTGTGACTGAAGGATTTTCCACAGTTGTTACACGTGTAGGGTTTCTCTCCGGTATGAATTCGCTGATGTTGAATAAGAGAGGAACTGTCACTGAAGGGTCTCCCGCATTCTTTACATTTATAGGGTTTTTCTCCAGTATGAACTCTCTGATGTTTGATGAGGTGGGCGCTCAGGGTGAAAGCTTTTCCACAATCATCACATTTGTAGGGTTTCTCTCCGCTGTGGGTTCTGTGGTGTGGCGTGAGGGATGAACTGTCACTGAAAGCTTTTCCACATTCATTGCACATGTAGGGTTTCTCCCCTGTGTGAATTCTCCTGTGTTTGGTCAGTGAGGCACTATAGCCGAAGGCTTTTCCACATTTGCTACATTTATGGGTCTTCTCTCCCATCTCAGCTCCCTCATCTTTATCTAAGGTCGCATCTTGATTTAAATTTCTCCAACATTTTTCACACAAAGGGGAGTTTTTTCTCTTAAGGGATGAGATCCGCGTAAAGGTTACTCCACAATTACTGCACTTCTGGGTCTTCCCGCCAAAATGCATTTTCTGATGTTTCTGATGTTCGCTTAGGGATGAAGAGTGACCTAAGACTTTCCTGCCTTCGTTACATTTCCGTGGCTTCTCTCCAGCGTGTTCTTTGCGGTTCAGAATGAGGTCTGAATGAAAACTGAAGGGTTTCTTGCATTCATTATACCTCCGAGACTTTTTCCTTAAGTAGACTCTCAGATGTTTAATTATTTCTGAGGTATGCTTGAAATTACTTCCAAAGGGGCTCTTTTCTGGGTCAAACTCCTCACCCTTACTGCCTCTCCCATGAGTTTTCTTTTGTGTGCCTGCAACTTGAGAATATTCCTTACTGCTACGTTTCCGGGACTCTCCCATCAGGCCATAATTACCACCCATTAGGCATCTTTCTATTATTTTATCTAAAGTTGATTCTTCTAGAACATCTTGATTTCGAGAGGATTCCTTCAATTCACCTCTAGGTTCACACTCTAAAAGAAATAACAAATAGAATGTCTCCCGTTTGCAATAAAGGAAGCTGTCCTCTTTGGGACTGAGATAGGGAAAGAGGTAGGAGTGACTATAAACAGTATGAATATGATCTTGGATGGTTTTCAGAATCTTAGGACACAGAGAAGGAAAAAATAATATAGAGAAACTAGGTAAATATAGGAGTTAAGAAAAATATTGGGGAAAATGAAAAGTTTGTGCTTTATAGTTAGAATAAAGATGCATGTTCTCACCCTCATTTCAAATTTCTGTAATAGGCTCAAACTCATTCTCTTTAGAGCCAATCTATTTTCTTTCTAAATAATGACAACAGCACAAACATTTATTGAATGCTTAGTAAAGGCCAGCCCCTGTATCAAGCACTCTGATCGTATTTCCTTTAATCTTCACAAAAGTCTTATAAAGTAGGTGCTGATATTATCCCTGTTTTGTGGATGTGACAACTACACACACAAAGTAAGAGTAGGAGCAAGTAGCTTGCCCCATGTCACATGTGTTGTAAGCAACAGAGCCAGATTTTTCATCTATTCTGACACCAAAGCCCATATGTTTGATCCCTATACCCACTGCTTCTTAAAGCAGCCGAATAGCACTAAATTTACAGAAAAATGGTAATCCCATCATAGATGTGCAGCACTGCCAACGCCAAACTTTCAAAGGTTACAACAGTCAACCTTAGGGATACACTCTAAGCGGGCATCCACTCACTGTCCCTCCCACACTACGGTATTTCAGTCCTATGCTTTCAGTCTTCGTCCTACCTCAAGTGCAGTCCTGTGGCACCTTCCTGAACAGAAACACCCATGGCCTCAGGTTCAAGTCCCATAATCCCCAGAGATTTCTCCAATATCATACTCTAATTACACTCTCTTCAGAACTTTGAACCACATCATTCAACCTGGCTCTTAATCATGAGGTCACGCCATCACTTTCATAAACCTGTTTTTTAAAGAGTTAACTATAAAGCACAAAATTCTATTCCCCAGAAGTTAACCATTATTAAAAATTCTGTGCATTTTTTATAAGATTTATTTTAGAAAGAGAGACAGCAGGGGGGAGGAGTAGAAGAAGAGGATAAAAGAAACTCAAGCAGACTTCACACTGAATGAGGGGCTCGATGTGGGGCTCGATCTCACAACCTAGAGATCATGACCTGAGTTGAAACCAAGAGTTGGAAGTTTAACCAACTAAGCTACTCAGGTCTCTCAGTACTATTGCTTTAAATGTATATTTCATCACTGATCAGTGACTTGGAACTTTTTTCCAAATTTGCAGCAATTTAAAGTTTAGTGTTGTCAGTTATTTTTAATTCTGTAAGCTATCTGCTCAAGTTCTTCACCCATTTTTGTTTTTAACAGACTCAGCATTCCTTACTGATATGCTTAAGTATTTTATAAATTATAGTTATCGACTCTGCTTTGTCTACGTGTTTTCTTCTATCTGTTTTAAGTTAACTTTTTAAACAAGTTGTACATCTACATAATGCTTCTGGGGAGAGAGGGACATATTTATACCATTTATATTAAAAAATAATATCCTTTATTTGGGTACATATACTGAAAACAACCAATAGTCTGACTTTGGTTAAGATGAAATAGAGCTAAGTGAAATTATTGGTTTTCTCTTAAAAAATAATGTACTGATATATAAGCAATAACTTATTTTTTAACTACAAACTTAGTATATTTATTGTTAAATTTTAAGGTAAGAGAAGGATGAAGAAAAAATGTAATCCCTCAGAGATAACCATGATTAACAGGAATGTTCTCCAGACATTAAAAAAAAAAACCTAACTGTATTTACATATTTTTTAAAAATTAAATTATATCTATATATTTAGATATATACATGTATATAAACATTTTTTCCTTTTAACAAAAATGAGATAATACTCTCCAGGCTGTCCATTGGATGAATTCCTACTTATCCTTCAAGATTCAACTTAAATGTTAAGTAAGCCATTTTTCCTGTGTTCCCCATTCATCCCATTACTAATACTGTGTGGTTTGATATCCATATTATGGCGCACCCAGAAATGCACTGCTCAGATCTCCAACTCTGCAGTGCTTACTTAGCCCCCATGGCTGCTGATTCGACACCAAGGCCACTTTCCCATAGATGCTCCCAGTCACTGGCAAGTACAGCAGGGACACAGGCAGGCCCAGAGACATAGGACTCCAGAAAGGTGACTCTGGCTGGTGAACTCTTCTTTGGCCTTGCCAAAACTTTATTAAATGGCACACGAGGTGCCTGGGTGGCTCAGTTGGTTAAGCATCTGCCTTCGGCTCAGGTCACGATCCCAGGGTCCTGGGATCGAGCCCCATGTCAGGCTCCCTGCTCAGTGGGGAGTCTGCTTCTCCCTCTCCCTCTGCCCCTGCCCTCATGCTCTCCCACTCTCAAATTAATCTTTAAAAAACAAAACACTGCACATCAATCTAAGACACTTCCTACCCAGCCTTCCTTCCTTCCCTCTCTCATTCACAAGGGTTTCACTCACCTTATGCTCTCACTGGTCTCCCCATTTTCCTTCACTGCAATTCTCCCCAGTAAGTCCCTGGCATAGCCAATCATGTCTTGGCATCTACTTCTCAGAGGACCTAAATGAATGGTCTCTCCAATAAAATGAATATCCCAGGAAGGCAAGGGGTCTATTCTAATCACCTTCTCTTTTAGCATCTAACCCACCCAATATTTCAAAGGCTCTTCACAAATGACTTGGCTAAGCAACTCTTTTAATTTCTTTGCTTTTCATCTACTCACCTGGTCTGGAGCCTTTTGAGATTTCTCTTTCCAGCAGCCATGGCAGTTCAACCCACTTAAACTGGGAAATCAAATCTAATTTGGAAACTGGAAAGCCTGCTCATAGAGAAAAGAGTAAAAAATGACTGTTTCTGCACAGGGCAAAGATGTTCCAACATTCATACACAGCCTCGGGTTCTCCAGGAAAGAGAAGATGCTGTCAAGTACAGACATAATTCCTGGAAAATCAGGAGGAACTGGGGAAGGTATGTCTTGATGGCAGCAGTGATACTCAACATTTCCAGTTCAATGAAGCAGAAACTCTTTTTTTAGAGAAAACATTGCAGAAAAGTACATTTTCAGAAATCATTTTTAGGATTAGTCGTATCAACCCTGCATGCCCAGCCAATACAGTTAACAGCACTTATCTTTCAATGATAGTGCTCAAAAAGATATACAGCTTATACATTACATCATAAAGAGATATCTTTACCCAGAAACTCTAGGCTCCTAAAGTTCTCCAGCAGCACTTCCTTATAGAGCTCCTTCTGAAAAGGCTCCAGCCTCCTCCACTCTCCTCTGGAAAAGCTCACAACCACGTCCTTGATCGTCATGGATTCCTAAAGAACACACAAAATACAGTCTTTTTGCATTGGATTAACACTCACAGGTTCTAGGGGTTAGGAAGTGGGCACATTTTGGGCAGCCATTATCAGTCTACTATAGCAATATCGATTACCTACTGTGAATAAGAATTTTTTTTCAGGGCACCTGGGTGGCTTAGTGGTTAAACATCTGCCTTTGGCTCAGGTCATGATCTCAGTGCTGGATCTGGGTTCCCTGCTCAGTGAGGAGCATTCTTCTCTCTCCCCTCTGCTCATGCATGTGTGTGCTCATGTACTCTCTCTCAAATAAATAAAATCTTTACAAAAATTATTTTTTTCTAAGTGATTTGTAACCGTTGCAAATTATTCTAATTGATTTGTAACTAGCCAGTTTTCTCAATTATTATGAGTTTTAGTACCTGTTGATTCTCAGAGGTTTTCCAAATAGACCATGTTATCTGCAAATAACACACATTTGTCTTTTTCATACCAATATTTACCTCATTCCCTTCTTATCTTACTCCTTTGGATAAAATATTAAAAAACTACTAACAACAGCATGATTAGACATTCTTTTTACAGGCATTGTGAGAGCTGCTTTTTATTTTCCAATACTGTTCAGCTGGAGACTTTTTTTTAATTGCATTAAGAAAATATAATTCTATTTCCACTTGACCAATTTTATCAAGAATAACTAGAACTTTAGTAAACTTTTTTTTGTTGTTTTTCTTAGAGTCAGACTTGTGACAAATCCTGGTAACTCAAATAAAACAGCACCTAAGGAATGAGTTTGAAGAATGTGAAGGAAACTGTCTTCATGATTCTGATATCTTTATACCACTCTGTAGGAGCTCAATAAGTATTCACTTAAGAATGAAAACCAGTGAAAGGAAGCTTACCCGGGACTCAGTACTTGGAAGGACAGAAACCATTTTATTTTCTTCAGGGTTCTCCTCTTGGGAAATAACAGACTCTTGAGAGACTGGATCTAGGAAGGGGGGAAAGGATACTCTAGTCTTTCAAATGCATTCCTCAGACTAGAAATTCTTACACGTGCTTCTCTGCAGAAAAAGGTCAGAAGAAAGTTTTTTCCACTCCTATTAAAACAGAGATAAGGGACACCTGGGTGGCTCAGTGGGTTAAGCCTCTGCTTTCGGCTCAGGTCATGATCTCAGGGTCCTGGGATCGAGTCCTGCATCAGACTCTCTGCTCGGTAGGGAGCCTGCTTCCCCTTCTCTCTCTCTCTGCCTGCCTCTCTGCCTACTTGTGATTTGTCTGTCAAATAAATAAATAAAATCTTTAAAAAAAAAAAAAACAGAGATAAAAGCCACATACACGCTCTTTTTAAAATCCAAGCTTTTCCCCCTATTCCATAAAACAGCCTTCAATAGCTAGGCTCACAATAATAGGTTTCATTCAATCCACACGTCTACCGCTTAAATGTGTTTTATTTGCATAATAGTTATTTGAAAAATAGTTGTAGGCTGTATTAAGGTAAAACAGCATATTCATTTTATGTATTAATTTGTTTTTCTTCATACTCCTAGCACAATGCCTTGCAGAGAGTCGCTTCTTGAATGAAAGCACCAAACTGGTCTCAGGAACACACTCTTCTCCTGGGGTTGCCAGCAGATGCCTAAAGATGGAAATCAGGAACCTGAACATATCAACTAAATATATTACATACCCTGAGATGTCAAGAGCTCTTCTTCTGATAAGGGTTAAGTATTTTTTAAATCACGCTTTACTTTCTTATGAAAAGAATTTTAGCTTATTGATTAGATAATCGAAAGGAATTAAGAATCAGAATTACATAGAAGGGACTCTTAAGGGAACTGTTCTTACAGAATGCTACAGCAATAAATTCATGAGCTTCTTTATTGTTAGGGGCTTCCGCTAAGAGGCCCTAATTTTGGAGAAGCACCATGTTGCCATGACAGATAAGTCAGAGGTCAGGCAACCCCAAGGTTGAACATACCAATTAGCTGCGTGACCACAGTTGAACTCTGCGGAGGTAAATGCCATTTCCCTATCCAGGAACTCTTCGTAGAATGCAAACTGTCCCACATATGTACTGAGAGCTTTATGGTAGTTCATCTGATACACATACTGGGGACATGGGCAGCATATTAAAGGGATTTTATAAAAGCTGGACCCCATGCCCTCAAAGGGCTATCCACCCCATAAGTCTATCAATATTTTATGATGATATGTTACGATTCAGTTTATAGTTTATACATTGGTATGTGCATAATAATGGAATTTTAATGTTGGTCAGCGGCTCCTGCCGGATGTTGCCCAGCACACATGTCTGTTTAAATTTAAGATTCAATTCCTTATTTGCCCTGGTCACATTTCAGATGCTTAATGCGAAGCCCGAACAGTGCAGAATGCATTTCCGACGTCGCAGACGGCAGGCGCCCCAATCTAGAAACCTGCTCTGCACACTTGGGAAGCAGGAGTTGAGACCTGCCCTGGACGGTGTGCCTGTGACTCCAAACGTGTGCAAGTCATTTCCTTCGCTCCCATGTTCTAAGATTCCCTTTTACTCAAGGCTGAAAGGAAAGAAATTAGTATTATACCTTATCATATTCAACCCCTCATAAAAGACTAAGCAGATGAGAATCCCTTTCCACAGATTAAAAAAAAAAAAAAATGAAGGTTCCAAGAGGTTACGTTGCTTGCCCAAGATTACACAGTAAAAGGCAGGACTGATTCAGAGCCAGTCCCACCCCCAAACTGAGACTCCCTTTAAATAATCAAATGCTTTCTCTGGGGGAGTTTACTTTCACACCCTGAGGAGATCACTCCCACTTCTTCCCACCATCTATAAATCTCACCTTCCTTTTCTTCAAGCATTTGGGTCAAATCCTCTATCAGGGTCACCACTTGCTCACTACTCTCAGGATGTTGGGACTTTACCCAAATCCTGATCTCCCCAGGCAAAATGGTCAGGAATTGCTCAAACACCAACAGCTCTAAAATCTGTTCTTTCGTGTGGATGTCTGGTCTCAGCCACTGAATGCAGAGATCCCAGAGCTGATTTAGGGCTTTTCTGGGTCCAGCCACTTCTGAGTAACAAAACCACCTGAATCTCTGTCTGAAAGTCTCTGGGTCTTTATTGTCTCCTCTCAGGATAGCTTCTTGATCCCCTGGAGTATCCATTCTTAGGACCTTGCTTGGTTCACTCGAGGCCAGGGTCTGAGGGTCTGGGGAGATGGCTGTCATCTTATTCAAGGATACTACAGCTTGCACTGTGCGTCAGCAGCAGGAATCCAATTCCCTTTAGACTTTAGTTGAATGATCAGGCACTATAGACAGCGAAATATCAAGGGTTCCAAGCATTCAGCTTAGTCTTGCAGAAACTGTCAAAAAACAGAAGACATTAAGTAAAACAAATTATTACTCCTAAAAACATTGTTCCTGGTTTGGTTCAGATGTATGCAGACATACACAGAAGGCCTAGAACAGCCCTGCCCAGCTGCTCCATCCAAGGTCTACGTGAGAAGCAGAGGAGTTACTGAATGCTAATTAAAGATACCCTCTGGGGCGCCTGGGTGGCTCAGTGGGTTAAAGCCTCTGCCTTTAGCTCAGGTCATGATCTCAGGGTCCCGGGATCGAGCCCCGCATGGGGGGGGGGTGTCTCTGCTCAGCAGGGAGCCTGCTTCCCTTCCTCTCTCTCTGACTGCCTCTCTGCCTACCTGTGATCTCTGTCTGTCAAATGAATAAATAAAATCTTAAAAAAAAAAAGATACCCTCCAAGAAAACAATTTCTTCAGACTAAACATTCCTCATAAGCAAAACACATGAGAAAAGGCGCACCGCTACAAGAGAATCCAGTCACAAATTTACTCAACATCTCCTGAACTGCTGCGGTGAACGGCCTCCCATTTCCCACCAGGTGCTCAACTCACAAGCCTGATTTCCTATTCGCCTCTCAAATTTCTCACACAACCAATAATCAAATTCTGGCAGTTTTATTTCCTAAGAACCTCTCCATTCTATCCTACTTAAACTACCCATGTATAGCTTTCTTCTATCCAGTCCCACACTGTAGCCTACGGATGCCTTCTAAAATGCAAACCTGGGTCCTATCACCCCTCGTCTGTCCCAAGGTAAAATTCAAATGCAGAGGCCACGCACGAAGATCAGACACCCTGCCCTGAAGACCTCACCTCTTGAGTTCTAGCTGCCCGATGGACGCAGCGGCCAGAAAGAATAATGTCCCCATTCCCACACACCCTCCATCCTTTGCTCCCAGCCATTCCCTCTCCTTGGAAGCTGCCTTCTTTCCCTCTCCTACCAAACTTTTACTCATCCGTTAAAACTTGACTCCTTTCAACGGTCACCTCTTGTACAAAGCCTCCTCTGATCCCCAAGTGCTCTTTTGCACTGAGCCCATCCTGCGTTACATGCGTTCTTTCATTCTGCAAATAACTGGCCATCAGGACACTACGGAGACACGCGTGGACAGATCAGGCAGGGTCCCCAACCTCAGATAACCCCCAGGAAATGACAATTCAGCCTGAGCGAAATGCGCTACAATGCGGCAGGTGGAAGCACTCTCTCCCCCTGTTGCAACCATTACCCCAGTCATTACCCACCTCCGAGCACAGCCCGGCACACACGCATGCATGACGTCACTTACTCCTCCGCCAAATATTAAGCGCCACCCGAGTACCTGCACCGCGCTGCACCGCACCTGAGGTTGTGCGGTGACGAAGACACTCGTCTCGGTCTCCAGGGGGCCTACAACAGAGGCTTCGCGAAAATGTGACGCAGGCAGAAAGAAGTTCTCAAAGGGAGGGGGGCGCTGAAGACATTTTGGTCATCACCACTGGAAAGGAGGGGCGCTACTGATACCTACCTGGCGGGTACAGCCAGGGATGCTGCTGAACAGCCTACAGTCACCGCACGGCCCCCTTCCCTACGCACACACATCAAGGAATTTTCCCGCCCAAAATGTCCGCGTACCCAAGTTTTAGGACCGTAGGCGCAGGGAAGGGATGGAGAAAAGCTCCGTCATTCAAAACAGTGCCCACCTCCCCCCCGAAGCTGCGGCATCGGCAGTGCACGGAGAGGTCGCTCGGCTCCCCACCCACGCTCCACCCACCCCGCCCCGGGTGCATCCTTGGAGCCGGCGAGCTGGCCGCGGCCCGGAAATCAGGGGCCCGGGACAACCGCTACCTGCATCAGCACTCGCAGTCAGGACCAACGCCACTGCAATGAGCTTCTAGAAACTGGTCCTGCAGGACCTGCGCGCGCAAGCCGGCGAGGGGCCACTGCGCCTGCGTAAAGGCGCAGAACTACGATTCCCGGAATGCGTTTGTCCCGCTTTGCGAAAGTCCTGTGTTTTCCATAGGCTCCCACCTGGCCTGTTGCGCATGGTCATTGGGAAATGACTGGTGCGCTCGGCCACAGAATTATTGCTGCGCCAGAGGCCTAAAGGCCTGGAACCATCTCAGGTTTTCAGATTCATGATGCTCGGTCTCCTTGGTAACGTCAAACCATCCCTCCTCCTTCCTCTCTTTACCCTTCCCTGAAATCCAGGCAGGGAAAACCCACTGCAGAAGCAGATTAGTGATGCATTCAGTGTACGCCATAGTTAATGCCACAAGTTGCATTTGAACGAATACTAATTTTACGATTTTCACACCTGCCACCATGCTCCAAAACACCATCATGCCTCCCCTAGATTATTGAAAATAGCCCATTGAAGGCACTTTTCTGATCTTGTCAATTCTTTACACTACAGCCAGAGAGATGGTTAAAAACGCGAAACAGAGTATGTCCCTTCTCTGCTTAAAACCCTGCAAAGGCTTCTCATTCCACTCAGAGTGAAAATCCACATTTTAGTGGCTTAAAAAGCTTGATAGAATCTGATCACCCATGACCTCCTTGATCTCTTCATAGAATTCCCTGCTCCAGTCAAAAAAGTCTCCTTGCTCTCCCTCTTCTTCCAGCCTGACTGGCATTTCTGGCTTCCTCCAGTAGGTAGCCCTATGGCTCACTCTTCCACCCCTTAATATCTTCTCAATGAAGCTCTTCCACCACACTGCTAAAATTGGAACCCCACCCTTCCCCACTCCTGTTTCTCCTTCTAACATACAATTTTCTGATTTGTTTCCTATTGTCTGTCTTGTTTTGTTTTGTTGGCTTTTTCACTAGAATATCAGTTCCACAAGAGTAAGGATTTTTATCTGGTTTGTTCCATGAGACACAATCTCCAAGCCTCATAGCAGTACCTGGTGCATAGTAGGGCTCAGTAGATTTGTTGAATTTATGAATGGGCGCTTGCCTGGGTTCCTGGAGGCATAGCAAAAAGGGCTAGGGGACTGCAGAAGGATTGTTTGGAGGGTTCTAATAACAAGATGACTTTGGGAGGGGTGGAGTTGGGAAAGAAAAACATTCTAGCTTGAAAGACCCGGAGTCTTTAAAAAGAGCAAGCTCAACTAAATGAACTGCTGGGTTCATCTCACAGGCAGCAAGGCAAGCTAAAGAAACTCCCACAGTCAAAAAGAAGCTATCCCAGTCCCAGGTCTGAGTACATATTCTTCTCCTCTACCCGCCTCTTCTTGTCAGGCTGGAAATCGGACATCAAGGAGAAGGTGGAGAAAGCAGAGGGACATGAAATAAAATTGGCTCTTCAGTTTAACTGGGCAAGTCAGAGAAACTCTAGTGGCTCTCATACTATATGCACCTTAGAATTACGGGGCATTCTTCATTTGAATATAAATTTTAGGACCTTCCTCTCCACAACTTTTCGTGGGTGAACCTTGGACAACACTACACTAGTTGAAATATTCTGTAAGTAAGTGACATGCTACATATGAGTAAATTTCCAGGAAAAAAAAATGACTCCTTGGAACTGTGACCAAACTGTAACATTTGATTAAATGCAACCATCATGGTAAAGAGTGGTGGATTGTACATCAGTAAAGAAAGAGAAAACCACAGATCAATTAGTTTCACTTGTAAGCAATGTGGTGGGATCTCTGGTCAGAGCAAGCATGGTAAGGAATACTTAATCACATAAGTGGGGTTTTTGTTTGTTTTTTAAGCTGTTGTGACTTCAGGATGGAGAAGAGATTGGAGAGAGAAAACTGGAGGCAACAAGACTAGTTTTGTTAGGATGTTGTGCAAACATCCAGGTGGGACGATGATGGTGGTCTAAATGGTGATGAAGTAAAAAAAATCCAGGACACGGTAGGGGTAGGATTTGGGTGATTTATTGCAAATACTGATGGGTGAGAACAAATGCACCATATGGCAAGTTATATTTTGTAAAGATGGCTGCACTGATCTATTTCCCATCTTGATATATATTATTATACAGTGTGATGTTGCTGTCCTTCCATTGAAAAGAAAATGTTTCTTTCCCTTCAGTCTGGAGTGCCAAAATAGCTGACAAAATTGTTGCCTTCCCATTGTCTGTTCCCTCACATTTATTCACTTTTATTAAACATCTGAGGATACAAATGAATTGAATATGGCATGAGAGTTTAATGCAAATGGACACTAATAGTCAAGATGAAAAATGAATCACAATGGATTACTTAGTGCCTATTGTCTCATAAAAGACAGCATAGATGTTTCCCTGAGATTCATTTTCCTGGTACCAAATTCTAAGAAAAAGTATTCCTTGGGTACAGGAAATTGGAAAACATCATGGTCAATTTCTTCAAATGGATTTTATTTTTTAGAAATGAAAAAATGTTACTAATGAAGTAAAAAATAGTTCAGTGAGCATGAATAAAATCTCAAGGCAAAACCCTACCTCTGGAGGTTAGTGGATCCAACCGAGCTAAAGGAAACAAGGCACTGGGAAAGGTAGAAGAAATTGAGCAATACCTTCAAAATGATGAGGAGTGGTTATTTCCAACCTAGAATTCTATCCCGGTCATCCTGGGTATTTCAGTTGGAGATTACAGAAATGTTTAGACATACAGGTCCCCAATGTTCGTCTCCTAGTCTCCCTGTCTCAGGAAGCTTCTAGATGAGAGATCAGCAAACTATGGTCTTTAGTCTGAATCACCCCACTGTTTCTTTTAAATAAAGTTTTATTGGAACACAACCATGCTCCTTTGTTTCTGTAGTGGTCATGACTGCTCTCATTTTATAATGCCAGAGTTGAGTAGTTGTGACAGAAACTCTGTGGCCCACAACGCCTAAACTATATATTAGTAAGCGCTTCACAGGAAAGGTTTGCTGATAAGGAACATAAAGATATAGGGAGGGGAAATGATGAGGGTATCAGGCAAACTTTAGAAAGGTAGACAAGGCGTGCCTGAGTGGCTGTCAG